ACTCAGGCTTGACTTCCAACATTATTCTTCAGCCCATCTCCAGACAGCGGTCAGCATCTTGTTGTTGTATTCAGTCTAAATAGTTCCTTGGATACTGCTGCCCATCAATATATTTGTTCCGTGAGTTTGAACTTTATTTCACCTCTTTAGTTTGTGACTTAATTACTATTTCTGGCACATAACACATGGATTATGAATGTTGAGGAATGAATGAATGAATGAATGAACGAACGAAAGAAAAAGTGTCACCACTGATCATGGTTTCCATAAGTTATGAGGAGGAATCTGATAAATGAGCTGCAGTTAGTTTTATTTCCATGTTTCCCGAGAGTTACCTAGAAACTACCCTATTTGCATTGTTTTTACTCTGTTTGTAAATAGCTCCCAAATAAATCACACACAGAGGCTTATTATTACATATAAATGCCCGGCTTTAGCTTGGCTTGTTTCCAGCTGGCTTTTCTTATCTTTAAATTATCCCATTTACCTTTTGCCTCTGGGCTTTTCCCGTTCTCTAACTTCCGTAAATCTTATTCTTACTCCATGGCTTGCTGTGTAGCTGGGTGGCTGGCCCCTGGAGTCCTCCTCCTTCTCTGGCTACTTTTTTTTTTTTTTACCCCCAGATTTCTCCTTCTTTATATTCTCTTCTCCTGCCAGCCTCACCTATCCTTTTTCCTGCCTTTCTATTTTTCTATTGGCCATTCAGTTCTTTATTGGACCATCAGGTGTTTTAGACAGGCACAGTAACACAGCTTCACAGAGTCAAACAAATGCAACATAAACAAAAGTAACACACCTTAAAGTAATATTCCCCAACACTGCACTTTCATTCCCGACAATTGCTATGAGAGGTACCCATTCAGTTTCCCTCCGGGTAACTGGAATGGTCTCTATGCTCTAATCTCTCTTTGCTTGCAGCTGCAGGAATTCCTTGGAATGTGAACTTGAGTGCTGTGGATGTGAATTGCACAGTGAAGGTGATGGGCCTGAGTTAGCATGACATATCTCCACCTCTGTGTCAACGTGTTAAGACAATTGCTACAGGCTCATTATAACACTGTACTGTGCCGTAAGAGTCATTCTGCCACAGATTTTGAAGCATGGAAAACTCAATCCTTTTTTATTTTTATACTCATATAGATCTGGATCCTAATCTTCAAAAATCTCCCTGAAATTCATGGGACGGGACCCAAAATTTCTATCTTCAGGTCAACTTTACCGGTGTCCACCATCAACCATGACTGGAAATCAGAAGAATTTCAACTCTAAAAGGGTTGTCGCTGTGATCTATGTTAGCACCTATTCTACTGCTTTGGGTTCCCTTTCCTGTAGAGAAGCTTTGACTATAATTGTTGTTAGGGCACCTGCCATGTGTCTCTCTCAAGACAGATGCCCAAAGCTTAGATGTGCTCTGATGAGTCTGCTGGACCAAACTTCAAAAGAAGCCTTCCCCACATTGTCCAATAGTTCACCCAACAGATCACCAAGGAGGCCCTGGTTTACTGGCAGGGACTATGTCAGGAAGATGACAATTATGTTCACACATCCAACTTCTAAGAGGAAATCACAGTGCCACAGAAGGAACTGAGCCAGACCACTGTCACAAACCAGGCAGAGGAAGAGCTGGCAGCAGAAGCCAGGCCAGGGAATTTTCAGCGACTTCAAGGTAACACCCGAGTTTCATTTACTGTTTTCTAAGGACACAGGCCTTTAAGGAAGAGGATATAACTGCGATGCACTTTGACCTCATTTCATGACATGACTGGGAGCAATCGTGCTGCAATGAATATGGAGTCTAACTATCTCTTTGAGATACCAGCCTTAATTTCTTTAAATACATCTCCAGGAGTGAGATTGCTAGGTCAAATGATGGCTTTATTTTAACTTCTAGAGAACTCTCCACACTTTTTCATAGTGGCTGCCTCCTTTTGTGGCCCCGGAAATAGTGAGCAAAGGCTCCTTATCCCCATATTAAAAATGATTTTTATTTTTATACTTTTTAATAATAGCCATCACTAAGGACTAGTGATGTTGAGCTATTTTTACACATACCTGCTGTCTATTTATGTATCTTCTGGGAAATGTCTCTTGGGGTTTATAGCCCATTTTCTAATCAAGGCCTCTGTGTGTGTATGTGTGTGTATGTGTGTGTGTGTGTTGTAGTTGTTATTGAGATGTAAGACCTCCTTGTATATTGAGTTCTGAGTATCACCCTTTTGTCAGATATGTGGTTTTCAAATCTTTCCCCACTTCCTGTAGGCTTATTTTGTGGTTTCATTTGCCATTCAGAAACTCTCTAGTTTGTTGTGATCCTATTTATCTAATTTTGCTTTTTGTTACATCCAAAAAAGTATTGCTAAGTTCACTGTCAAGAAGGTTTTCTCCTAGGGGTTTCTGGATTTCAGATTTTACTTTTAAATATGCTCCTAATCTATTTTGAGTTGATTTTTCTATGTGGTTTGAGATAAGGGACCAATTTCATTCTTTTGCATATGGATATCCATTTTTCCCGGAACCATTTATTGAAATGATCATGCTCTCCCCATATGTCTTCTCTTCTTGGTAGCCTTGCCAAAGATCAATTGACTGTAAATGGGCAGATCTATTTCTCTATTGTTTTCTATAAGCATCCATGTTACTGTGTCAGCATCGTTCGCTTTTGGTTATCACTAGCTTACTTATGTACTTGAATTCAGCAAATATGAGGTCTCCAAATGTTCCTCTGTAAGGAAAATATAATGTGATGTGATATGATGTGGTGTGTGTGCGTATGTGTGTGTGTGTGTGTGTGTGTGTGTGTGTGTAAATAATTGAATGTTATTCTGTTTTAGAAAAAAATTCAGCTAAGTCAAATAAGTCAGAAACAGAAGGACAAATGCTACATGATTCAACTTATGTGCAGACTCTAAAATGCCAAACTCATAGAGTTTCATGATTGTTACCAGGAGTTGAGGAGAGGAAGAAACTGGTAGGTTTTGACCAAAAAAATACAAGGTCCATCATGCAAAATAAAAAGAGTGGTGGGAGCTTCCTGAGGTGGTAAATTTGCAATATGGCATTGATTGTGGTGATGGTTTTGTGAATATGAACATCCCTCTGCATTCACCCAATTATATACATTATGCATATAGCTTTTTGTTTGTCAATCCCAGCCCAGTGAGGTGGTCTAGGAAAAGGTATAATTCACGTGAGTAGCTAGTATACAGTAAACAGTCCAAGAAACAGAATGAGGTGGTCCCACTTCCACGGGAACATCACCCACATCAGGAGGAACTTCTTTAGAGAAACTCTCATAAGCATAATGGACATTTGCATAGGCTATTTGCTGTGTTGCCAAGTAAAGACCCTTGCTTGATGATTACATTTGGACCCCAAGACTGGAAACACATAAATCTAGATCATTTCCAAGGGGGATAGGATGGGTATCCAGAAAAATTTCAAGTCTGGGACATCACACAAATGATTTGGTTCCTTAATGACAGATGGGTATTCTGTTGTCTCCATGTTGCCTTGTTTAATAACAGATAGTAACTTACCCAGCTAAACATGCGGCACAGCCATACCTGATGGGAATGGCAGAAGTCAAAAAGCCAGCACAGCTGATTGACCAAGATCAGCAAAGCTGAGCCACATGATGGCTGCCAATGCCACCTTTGGTTTTCCTCTCCACCTGTTGCATACTTGGGAGACTTTTAATATTTGTACAATTTAGGGATATTGGATTGATGGAAAATTTCTTATGAATCATCTATGCCTTCTCTCAGGAGTACTGCTTCTAAGCTTATCCAGGAAAGTCCTGAACATACTGCCCCTCCCACTTTTAGGGAGATATCCTTATCTACTTGAAAGTCTTCCTTATGCCTTGGAGGTTGTGACACACATGAAGAAGCCAGATGTCTCTTTATGAGGCTATGAGATATTCTTGAAACATCTGTCCCTGTACTTACTCAGGAACAAGATAATCAAAACAAAGTAAACTTAAAAAGGTCAACAAGATTCAGTGGGCTAGAGGAGTTGACCACAGATGAGATTGCCAGCCTCTCCCTGCTACACACTCAGACAATTACATGGCATATACAGCAACAAAGTTAGATTGGCTGAAGTTACCTCTGCCTTATACAGAGACTTAACATTGATGAGCAAAGAATGGAGTGGAAAGATGATAAAAGAATGAGATGTCAGGACTTCCCTTTCTTAGGAAATTTAGCACATGCAGAGCCACTGTGGTATTATATGACCAAGGAACAACAGAATGCCAGGATAAGACACATAAACAAATTCTATAAATATATAAAATATAAACATTGTATTATGCCAGAATTTAAGTAATAACTGTAGCAGCTTGGGCACTGTGATCATTAAGAGGTAATAATATACTGCTTGGGACATGGCAAAATGCCTAGGCTGTCTTGAAGGATTTTGTGTTGGTTTAGTGTTCTTGTAACCACAAAAGCTACTAGCCTGAGAACTGGTTGTCATATGCCTCTAGATTCTTAAAAATTGTGTTATAGGGTTAATGAGTAAAAATGATAATCCTGTTATCATTTATTAATGATGTCAAAACTTGAGGGAAAATGATTGAAAATGATAACTCTGTTCTGTCACAGTTTGTTAGTGATGACTAAAAGATGAGCAAGAGGAAGTGAAACACATGTCCAAAACTGAAAATGATATAATCTGTGTTTTGGAACAACATGAATCTATCCCTGCTAATTGAATTCTGTATAAATAAAGAAGCACTCTGCTGCTAGTCAGTCAGGCTGCAAGATTCTCACCACCATCATGGCCTGGCTCATCTCCTTCCCTCGCCAACTCCTTACATCCTCTGCTGGGACCTGTCCACTGCCAGGATGGCTCCCAGCAAATGTGTACCTATATTCTTAAGGAGCTCTCAGCCCTGGGCATATATTAGACAACATTTGAATATATTGAAATAATTATAATTGATTAAAACACCATCAAGCCTGCAACACATCTCCCAAACCCACAGTCCAGGCTACCTGGTGGCAAGAAGTGGATATGAATGCACCGGGCTGAACCAGGCTTCCTTTCTTCGTGGCATGCTGTCGTAGATTAAAAGATCTTTCTCAGTCAGAACAACGAGGGCTGCTTTCCACTGCTTCTCACTCTCTCCTGGCACCTGAAACAGAAAGCAGAGAACCGTGAAACAGCTGGAGTACAAGGATGAGTGGGAAAAGAGACATCAGCATCCCTTCAATTAGAGAACCAAACAAAATGAGTGTCTCTGGTTCAGGCTTCGATAGTAGAAATGTATAGTGTGAAATAACTATAAATAACTATAAAGAAATAAACTATAAAGAAAATACTATAATAAAGAAATAACTATAGCGTGATCCTAGTGACTCCTGATCACTGAAAGTATCTGATACCAGGGGCCTGGTATGTGCTATCTGCACCGTCAAGAAAGAGCACAGCTGCTGCACATCTGCCATTGGTTCTCACCTGTCAGTCAGCACTCAATCTTTATTGCATGGTGGGAGGTAAATGCTTGGGGGAATCAGCACTCTCATTTTATGCTCTGGCACAGCACATTTATTATGAAAAAATTTGAACATATATCCAAAGACACTGAAAAATATTCTGCAGAGGCACATGTCTCCTCATTTGGGTATGAGAAAGGCAGTCTCTTAAGTCTTGCTCTTAAATCACTCCTGTGACTTAAGCATCACTTCAGAATTTCTCTTCTTCCACTGACTATTCAGAAACACTCAATGCAGAATACTTACTTAGGTCAAGGGCTAGGATGACTGACTAGCAACAGGACAGCAAGCATCAGTTGGATAATTGGACCAGATGCATTTCTGCATCCCTTCCATTGCTGAGACTGGCAGAGATGACCATTCCTTTTGGGCCCAGTGTTGATTCCCCTGAACTTAAATGCTCTTCTGTGCATGAAAGGGCCCTTTGTCCAGTTTGATTCTGGAGACCCAGATTAAGCTTGTTGAGAATTCGGAATCTCAGGCCCACCCACATGTGCATTTATTGGGATGTGCAGATGACGTGTATGCTCCTTAAAGATTAAGAAGCACTGCTCCAGATTAGGTCAAAGATGTCTTTGACAGTGATAAGCTTGTCAGTACAGAGAGGGGTCTCATAAACCAATACGCAAGGTCTAGTAAGAACTCAAAGAAACCTTGCAGTGAGCTAAATTCATATGACAGTTCATTCCCCCACCTTGCATTCTTTTAAGGTATTTATTTATTTATTCATTTATTTATTTGTTATACCCATGTAATATTTAGCACGCAAGCAGAGGTTAGAGGAGAGTTTGCAGGGGTCAGTTCTCTCCCTCTGCCAAGTGGGTTCTGGAGATCAAATTTAGGTTAGAGGAGAGCACCTTCACCTGCTCAGCCATCTTGTCTCTCTGACCCTTTCATTCTAATCACACACACACACACACACACACACACACACACACACACACACACACACATTATATAATCTACAAATCTACAATATATATTATTATATATATATATTTTCTTGGGACAGATCCTCACCTAGGCTGGGTCTTCCTGCCCCAGCCTTTTAAGGGCTGAGATGACAGGCTTACCCTACCAGACCTGGCTTCATTGTCATATTAAGTGCTAGAGTGAAATCTGCACAGAGTGGGAGGCACATACATGTCGCTGTTTTTTCACACCAGCACTATGGCCCGTGAATTAGTCATGAGTGACCAAAGTAGAGAAAATGTGCAACTTGGTGCTGGGGTTGAAGGTTCTAACTTCTCTGGGTGGCGTGAGGACAGTTCTGGTGTTCCTGAGTCGTGTATCTTTGGGGGTTCTCACTCCTGCTGCTTCTGTGTCCTTGCTGGCAAACACATGTACACTAGAGGTGAGCAATGTCGATTCTGCAGCTGGGAAACCAGAGCATACATCCTGCTCCAGAGCAGGCTAGCTGCCAGTCATCCAATTCCTTTGAATTTTAGCTTCTGCGTCTATAAAATGGCAACTATTAGCATCCATCGCAGAAGATGGTGTGAAGATAGATGAGTTGAGTTAAAATCTGTAGAAGGCTTAATGCGGTACAGAGCAAGCACCAGGGAGATACCTTCTGAGTAGCTCTGACTCCCGATGCTACTCAGGAGATTAAATGGGACAGTGAGTGTGATGTGCTTAGCAGCTGGCAGATGGTAAATAGAGATATTGTGGTGGGCCCACCTTATCTTAAAAAAAAATCATGTTGAAAAGGTGTTCCTTGGAAACGGAATGAATATAATGAAGACAATGTCTTTCCTTGGGAAAAAAATTATAAGATAAATCAACAATACCTTTTATACCAATAATTTAAATATCTTCTCTCTTCTTTTCCAAAGACCCCTTCACAGAAAGAACTCGTCTTCAGTTTTCAATACACTGCCTTGCATCAATTCCAAACAAAAGCTTGCTTTCTAAAGAGCATCCCCATCTTAATATTTGTAAAGCTGTTTATACTTGAATGTGAATGACTGACTGCTGGCTCATCTTCTCTCCCTGTGTATATTTTATACAAACTAAAAATATCTACCTTTATCTTATTGATTTTGTAAGACTTTCCCACAACAGAGCAAGAACATCTGCAAAAGATCAAAATAGATTGAGAAGGAGAAGTACCAGTCTTCACAAGGTGAATAAGCTATATATCTGGAGGCAATAAGTTGTGGTAGGGGGAGGGGACTGAAATAAATTTTTCCAGCTTCTACATTAAACCTAGTAAATTACTTTTCCAGATCATTAAGTAGGACTGAAGAAGTTACAAAATGATCCTCCCAGTGTGGCTATCTTACTTACCTAGTCAGATCTGATCCATTAATGCTGACCGCAATCAGTCATTTAAATGTGAACATGAAAAAATCACAATTCTTCAGAGACAACTGGAAGTTTGCAGAATGAACCTGGGTAGTAAAGATCAATGCTGGCATGCCAACTTCTGTACCCACAGGATCAGTGACACAGCAATGTGTCCAGTGGTATGTGTAGGTTTGAGTCATTCCAAAGCCCTACACATTTTATGGTTTATTCAAGCTATCTATGTAGATCTCTTAAAATACGCCATGAGAAAACTCTGAAGGGCTATATGTAGTGGGTAGCCGTTCCAACTTTGACCTGGAAATACCACCCACTTTGAGGCTTCGGATATGTCCCTGACAGCAGCGGCCTCTACAATGTATTGAATGACGAACTTTTTAATGGCCTTGTCTTTGGGCACACATTGGGCGCAGTTTGTGCAGCGGATTGGCTGCACATGGCCACGGCCCTTTTTGGCCTGACCGTTGTTTTGTCTCTTTCGGGTCTTAGCCTGGAATGGCTACCTACTACAGCTATGTCCCTCCATCCCTCTGTTGTCATGGTAACGATTGACTTTGCAAGAGAAAAAAAAAAGCCATAGTAAAGAACAAGATTTTGTGTGCCAGAGAGATGGCATTGTGGATAGACAGGATGGGTAAAGCATTTGCTGTGCAAGTGTGAGGATTTGAGTTCTAATCCCTAGGGCCACACAGAGGCAGAGTAGGCATGGAAGCCACCTATAATCCCAGCATTCAGAGGGCAGGGCCAAGGAATCTCAGGGATGAGATGGCTAGCTGGACTAGCCAGGTGTACTCCAGGTTCAACAAGACATTCTGCCTCAGTAAATAGAGTAGAGAACAATTGAAGAAGACACCCAATGTCCTTGGGATCATGTGTGTGCCCCCCCATGCATATGCTCCTCGCTAGATATGCCACAGATGTACACACCATACCCACGGAAGGAAAAGAGAATGGGAGTTTGAAAAACCTAGCTTGTTCTACATGAGCCTTCGACTGAAGTCCTGGAAGCCCAGTTGTTGTTATTGTTGTTTGGCTCAAGTGTTTGTGCTGCTGTTCTTGTGACAGCTTCTATTAGAAATCTAGTTTTTCTAGCACCCAAAGACAGCTGAATGCCAATACAACCATTCTACGGGGGGTGGGGTCTACATTTTATTAAAACATGATGTCATGTCTGAAGTAGATACAACAGTGTCCATCTCCACCCCACCCACATTCTGCTTTGGATGCTGTAATCATCAGTTTCTGAAGCCCTTACTGCATTTCCAATAAAGAAAGAGAAGGAACAGAGATAGGAAGACCTTCCCTGCTGCAGTTATTCAGAAGCAGTGTGCCAGTGAGCTGAATCATTTTCACTTCTGCAGCGCATCAGAGGACAGGTTTGCAAATTAGTACCAAGCATGTGAGGGGTGGTGAGAGTGACTAGAAATCATTGTGGCAAGTGAAAGTCTTGGGGCCCCATTCCCAGTGGGTCCCAAAAGTCTGATTCGGGTGTTGCAACCTTTGTAAACTTGGGTCCTCTGTTTTGATTAAATTGGAAGCCATAGAACGTTATGGAAAACACAGGCAGCTGGTGTGGGGTTGTATGCCAGGAGGGTGCAGACTCCTCATTGACTTTAAGTCTTAATCCCACACCCCTCCTATCAATCCTGGAATAGAAGACACTGACCTTGTCACCTATGAAACACAGAACATGCACACTAATCGTTGATTCCAAAATGAAAGTTTTACCAAAAACTTTTGAAGTTATTTCCTTAAAAAAGTTGGTTACTGTTAACACAAAGAGTCAGAATCTTCAAGATTAAAGGAATCATGAATAACACCCATGAAGGGCTTAACAAAGTGCCTAGCACAGTAAGCAGGCAAATCCTAGTGTTTGCTAGATTTATTACTACATTAAGTAAGGATAGCAATGTCAGATTCAGAATGTGGGTAGATTAGAACAAGGACTGTTTTCCTTCCCTGACTTAATGTCCCCATTGGCCAAATGACAAGGCAGGTCTGAGTTAGTGATAGTGGCCTTCACAGATCAATGCTCAATCATTTTTAAAGTTAACTTCCTCCCTCCCTCCCTCCCTCCCTCCTGTCTTGCCTTCCTTCCTTCCTTCCTTCCTTCCTTCCTTCCTTCCTTCCTTCCTTCCTTCCTT